GTGGTTTTGAGTTCTAATATTTTGTGGATATGGGAAACAGAATTTGCGGTCGTACTGGAATATTTGAGGTTGGACACTTGGTAGAATTTTCAGTAGCCACATAGCGGACCGCAATATTGGGCGACGGAGATTTGACGAACAAGTTGGTGACTAACCATGGATCCAGCCAAATTAGAAAAATTGTTGGAACTAGGGCTGAAGCTCATGGAGACGCTTACTCAGGCGAACACCTCTTCTCCAGTCTCATCTATACCGACAATCCTTCAGTCAGTCGATGGTATCACCAGTGGTATTTGAGAGTTTCTTCATGATCTTGATGCCAACATTACATTTGATACCTGGTTCAGGAGTTTTTAAGACCTTTTCAAAGTTGACCTTTTTGACAGAGATGATGCTTGGAAGGTGCGCTTTCTCCCTCGGAAACTTGTTCCGTCGGAGATGGACAAGTATTGCAACCCCATTCTATCGCAGAACCCACGGGACCGTTCCTTCGATGCCACTATTCAATCCGTCCGCCAAATTTTTGGCGATTATCACTCACTTTTCAATACTCACCATCGCTGCTTAAAACTGGTTATTAGTGATTCTGACGACTTCTTAACCTATGTCGGCATTGTCAAACGTGGGTGCGAACGGTTCAAGCTCAGATTTCCCAATGACGACCAATTCAAGTCCCTCGTATTCAAATGCAGTTTTCAATTATCCGAATTCCCCGACATAAGAACTCGGTTGCTAAATCGCCTTCAACAAGTACCAACGAATTATCAACCGGCAGTGTGACACCACTTTGGTTCGATCTGGGGGCCAGGGCGGTTGTCCAGAATCGGAACAAATTTTCGAGATCAACAACCTTTGATCTTTCGAAAGCCAGTGCTGTCCCTGCCATTCGTCATCTCACACCGGCACTATGGAGCCTGGCATTATATGAAGTTTCGTTCTGTTGGTCGCAAAACGGTTTTTGCCAATCGACCAAATTCAATGGACGACGAAATTCACAGATGCAGCGTCGTTTTCCCAAAAAGAAAGTTGCCTCATCAAGGAGTTTAGCAGCAAATTTCTGACCCACTCAATCAATGGTCAGACAGTTTGGTTGCGATTGGTTACTGCATTGGATACCACTATTCTGTTGGAAAAGGCTTAGCGAACCTTGGGCTAGCCACCCATGAAAACAACTTCTCAGTGACTGCGGGGATCATCTTCACCTTCATGGTGAACTCAGTTGATGCATTACGTTCAGAGGTCTAACCTTGAATGGAACATGCTATATCACCAAGTCTACTCTCAACATTCTGGGGTTAGATTGACTCGAAGAACTTGGTCTCGCCGATCTTTCCATTTTCACTATTCGCAGTCATGTACAGACTCCAGCCACAATCTCAATGGACGAGGGCTCCAGTGCTAAACTATTGGTGAATCCATACGGGCGATGCCTGTAACTGCTGAAGATGTTCGGGAAGCTACCAGAGACGACCTGAGAATCTAAGAAGCGATCACATATATTCAGTTAAACAGCTCATTGGTTGTTAAAGATTTTCTGATGTTCCAACCCTAAGTCCCAAGATGCTACGCCAGTTTCACTCTGTACGCCCAGGGATAAACCGTATGGAACACATTGCTCAGATCCATGCATATTGGTCGAACGTGAATAAGCAGGTTGTCCACTTTGTCAGAGGATTTACACATTGTCAAACCTCTATGAAGAATCCTCCCAAGTTTCCACTAGTACTCTGGCCAAAGCCAGCACATCACTTTGCCTGACCCCTAGATGGTGCCACAAATCTGATACTGGTTGACTCCTTCTCCAAATGGCCGATTGCGCCCCTCCTAAAACTCGAACCATCAAACTCCTTAATCAGATCTACATTCACCATGGTCCTCTAGAAACAGTAGTAACAGACAGTGGTTTGCAGCTCACACCCAACAAATTCCAAGAATCTTGTCTGCGAAACTCAATCAACTATGTTCGTTCTCCGCCATGTTACCTGCAATCTAACGGACAAGCTTAAATATTAAACGAGACATGCTCAAAGCCACGAGGGGGAACACATATAATATCGTAAAACGATTTCTATTTGTGTACCGCATGACTCCACATGAATTACTTACCAAACCTCAAATCCCCTACTGAGATGCATATGGGATGAGAGCCACTAACAGTTCATAGTGCGATGAAACCCAAGAGATTGGCCCAGTAAAGCCCTCATATTCAGACTGCTTGAATTCCTCACGAAGTTGGTGCGAAAGTGTCTGGGTTTGACTACAGACACGGATGTGATAGATGAATAGAGGTTGAAGTCACAAAGAAACATTGGGAAGTCATGTATGATATCTGGACCAGGCACCATAATAAGCCAAGGCCAAGGAAAGCTAAAGAAAAAGGTGAGATTACGAAATGGCTTCCACTTGATCTGCTGTTGATTACCTTTCAACTTTCTCCAATACCTCCACCAGAGACTACTTAGTCGTCTGCTCAAGCAGAACATCCTTCGTGTTCAGGGTTGTTACCTCGAAGGTAGTCGAAAAGCAAACGGAGACAACCAAAGAAATTTCAAGTAAGACCTCAGTCGTACCACTATTAAACTTTTCAAACGGAGGTTTTAGGATGTTCATCTGACCGTTCTGTGTCCTGGTATATTGGGGATTTGGGAGACGGAATTTGTGGTATTACTAGAATATATGAAGGTTGCCAATCGGTAAAATTTCGATTAGCCACATCGCGGACCACAATACGAAGGCCTACCGAAATCGTGCCAGAAAAGAGGAGCAAAGTTACAGAAAAAAGTGGAGCCAAAAGTGGCAAAAACACAAACGAAAAGTTTGCGCGTACTAAGTAGTAACAAACAAAAAGGTTCAGTAAAGCAATCACTGGTACAATCGGTCATAATGATGAATGATTCTATTAAACCAATCGTGTTTTCACCGTAAAAGTGGAGTTACTACACGTTGCAACTAACTGGTCTCTGACCTGATGAGTCGTTGGCTGCTGGTATTCAAAAATCCTTCTGCCCAGAGACAAACAGCCAATGAAGTCACAGAACATAAAAATTAATAGAGAACTGCCAAGTGACTACAATTAGTGAAATCAAGTGACCACCATGCCATCCATTGTACATTGCCAAACGCCTGGAACTGTACTGAAAGAAGTAGAAGCGAGAGCAAATAAATCAAGCGGTTTATACTAGCTCGTTAAAAAGATATTGGATATTGAAATTGTTTAAACGCTTTTTAACTGCAATCTGCGCTGTGATCAAGGTTAACCTGGGCGTGACTTTCTGAGACGTGCTTCAGCTTGTTTAATCGTGTGTCTGTATATTAGACTGGGATTATTACCTTGTAGAATCTCCCAAAATGGATGTCGATAAAGAGCGCATGGAGAAGCTGGAGAAATTCAAGGGGATGAGTGACCAGGTACGCATCGGTGGCAAGGGAACGGCCCGCCGAAAGAAAAAAGTAGTTCACAAGAATGCTGCCGCCGATGACAAGAAACTTCAAAGCTCACTGAAAAAACTAAATCTCAATAATATTCCTACCATAGAGGAGGTATTATGCTACTAATGATTGTTCAATGTTAGGTCAATATGTATAAACCGGATGGGACTATGATTCACTTCAAGAATCCGAAAGTTCAGGTAGCCCCACAAGCCAATGTGTTCGCAGTAACTGGACAAGCTGAATATAAAAGTATTTCTCGTGTTTTGCTTATGAATTTTCAGCACTAAATGATTTGTTCCCAAATATGCTTAATCAATGGGAAACAGCAAAGTTGCGATTGGCTAAAATGAATGGTTAGTACACTTTTTGTTTCAGAATATTTTGGTACGTTTATAATATTTCACTGTATTTTGTCCAGAATCTCAGACTAACCGTATTTGTTGTGCACCAGGAATTCGGTCAGTCAGTCGATAGCGTAAACCAGCTGACCGATAGTAATAGCCCATGTTTGCTAGCGTTTCCGTTCAGGGGATTATTATTACCAAGCCTACCGCTACCAAAGACATCGAAAACCACAATTATAAGGGTGTAGACAGATAGCTGAAAGAAGTCTTGTCAGGCTACATCGGAATTGGTTAAAGTTTACTGTCAACTGAATGATCTCACGTCAAGAGCATTCTAAAAACAATAGCAACCGACTAGTTCTTATTTCAGATGTATGGTTGCCGTATCCTAGATTCTGTATTCAGATCTTAATGGTAACAAATCGGGTTTGCAAAATTCTTATTGAGTGGTTGTATCAGTCATAAAACGTGTTTGCACAGAATTTGTGTATGCGTTGCTCACCCCGATTCAGTTACCAACCCTCATTGCTACTGACCGTTTTGCCTGTACCCCTGGGTTGTTTTTGCAAATAGCAATTCATCGACTTATTATCTTGCGGTACACGGTATTCTAATATGGATCTGTTAAATTGCAATGTCCATTGATGTTAGTAAGCCTTAGATTTATGCCTGCATTTGTTGAAAGATGTGCGCCTTGGATTTTTATTCAATTCTATCCTATGCTCCTCAAACTATATGACTGTCTACGGTACATAAATGAGCTATTTTAATGTCTGCACGCGACAAAAGATTGGTTTTATCTGTCTAGTTCTTCATGTTCAGTATGCACTACTCTTCCACGTTGTACAGTGTATGTTGGGTTCATGTTATTGTGATTCAATATACTAAAGTTCTTGACGTACGGTTAGTTAACTTGTGATGCCCCTGAAATAAATTATGATGTATCCTAATGTATTCTTAATCAAACTGATTAATAAATTGTCATTAGTGTGCTTTCCATCTAGCAGAGGTAATTTATTCGCATATCATTGCAAAATACTTGTCTATCTTCAGTGTTTTGTGAATAGTGAATAACTGAAATAGACATGGAGAGGGAAGCCCAGGACAGAGTTGGTTGGAGAAAACTGGTGGGCGGCCTATGCTCCATTGGGGGTAAGAGGCGTAAATAAGTGAAATAGACATATGTTAAAGATCCGATAGAAATAACGACACCAACCGTTTACAGTTGTGTAGACCATAAAATAAAAATAGTTGAGGTTGATTATCTTATTGTTCTTAACAGTCTGGTGGACTCATGAATAATTCGCAGGGCTGCATAAGTGTAAATCCTATACCAATCCCGGATATCTTTGACTTCCAAAGTACAGCGAGATGTTGCGAATTTTTTTGACAATCGACTCTTAGGTTAGAGTTATAAATGCAAGTTTGTTTTGAGACTAACTTACTTCCTAATTGGTAGTATATTTTCTGTACAAGTGCTTACACTGTTAGTTTTACCTATTTTAGAACTCTTAAGTATAGAACCTGATTGTTACATATCACTATTTATTTATAAGTCCCCCATTGATTATTCACATCGGTTGATGACTTCTGTATTTCCCTAATGTTAACTTTGTAGAAAACTCAAAAACATCAGATTCAAAGGTAGATGATGGAGATGATGATGTACCAGAGCTTGTTGAAGATTTTGATGAGAAAAGTCGTTTGGAATAATTGACAAATGTATTATGAGTGAACTATGTATGACTCAGTCACTACTTCACAATAAAAGTCACTCAATACACCAAGTGTAATGTACAATGTTTGGTTTTTTAATTATTTCCCACCGCTTACATCCTCAAATTTCTTATACTAGTTGCGCATTGTCAAACTGTCCTGGTAATATTCATTTTTTGACAAAAGCTCTTATAAAACAAATAAACAATTCAGTTATGTTTCTTCTAGAATAAATTTGTATAGCAAACTTCATTAAATGGAATTTTGAATGCAATTCGTCTTGTCGATTATTTTTTAACCGGATAACCAGTGCTTTTTTTTAATTAAAAATTTATAACAAACTTTTTTAAACACTGCATTTAAAAAACAGTACGTTTACAAATTATACAAGAATTAATATTACTGTAAAACACCATCACTAAAGTGTTTGTTGTGTTCACTAGAGGTAACTGTGTACTTCTCCAATAGGATGCACAATTTCTTTTGTTTATAGATCGTTCATAATCATGCGGCTTATGAACATTTCGATTTCACAATCTTTAACTACTAAGTTAATGTGTAATTACCGAAAGGATCATTAGCGGACATGTCTGTTCTTTTCCGAAAATCGATACAACTCAATGATCATATGCGAACCACCGACTGCCTCGTCGAGCCTTGTTTTGTAATGTAGGAATAGGTTGGAAGAAAGTTAGGGGCGGCCAAACCAAAACATGGCAGAAATCCATGAAGTCATTGACAAGTGGACTTAGCCATGTCGGTAATTGTCGACTACCTGGTTGGGGTCCGCGAGATGATAATAATCGATGGTTAGAGACCTTGAATGACATGGCTCGAAACCGTTTGCAATGGCGCCGGTGCATTTATTCTTTGTGTTCTCTCAAACCCTAATCTTCTGGATTCTTCAACACATCTAGTTTTTACTTTCTAAACTTATCTCACTGAATCGTACTTCGTGAATAATATCTTCTAATCCTAACCTCTCGGATTACTTCTAATACCTTTACTACCTCTTTGACTATTGGATTTGAATTGACGATTACTTCTCTGTGCTGATGTGGTATGGCAACATGAACTGATGTACTTATGTACAAAGTTCTACGTTGCATCTGACTGACTGCATATCATGTTACTCCATCATTCAGGTCATATCGAATGATGCGCAATGTCATTTCTTAATTTAAATGTTTTCTGATGATTAATGTAGTTTATCTGTTTAGCACAGCTTAATGTAATCTGTTTTGAACTACAGTTAGTGTGTTTGGCCTGATGATAACTCGCGCCTGCAGCTTATTGGTCGACGAGTTAAGTGTACCGGTAATTGACTCCCAATAATTTTTTTGCTGTCAAAGTTCTTTTTACACCAAAGTTTGGTTGTTTGTTGAGAATCTGCGCTACAATAGCCATAGCTAGGTTGAGTTTCTGTACAGTTTTCGTATTTCTTAATACGAATACTGTTATATGTACGTGCAAAATAATCGGCATCTACTGATATGATGTTATCAACTACCGTCTCTTATTGTAATGTTCCTGGTAAATTTTTAGTTCCTGCTACCTCCCAGCCAGCTATAATCGTGTATTTAGCGGTAACCAGCTCTAAGATGAGTCTCCTCTTGTCGCCGATGTATTGCAATTGACACAGTCATCATGAGTGCTTACCATGCTTTAGTACTCATTGATTAAAGCTGAAAATTTAAGCGGTTGAGTTTCAACTTAGCCAACTATGTGTAGTACGGTCACTAGCGAAACGGGAGTAACTGTTTGGGATCCTTACTGACGCAAACCCCTATACCGGCATAAAAGCCCTTTCGATGCGCCTCGGCTTTCAATGTATGCCATTATACTGATAGGTACTGCGTACGTATTTTTAATTAGCGTGACTTCAATATCGGTAATACGGCAGACAGGTTCCTGTGGTCTCATACTACTAGATTTACCAGTCTACTCAAATTTTATAGATTTGAAAATAAGAAGCGGTCGTGGACGTGAATTAAAGATCAAATGCATCCATTGTATCACGTCAATCTTTAGAATTTTGGGAAACGTGGTAGTATTGCACAACCTCAGCTTTTTTGATTCGTATCACCTGAAATTCTCACACGTAGATCAGTTAAGGTGTTATCCTTTTGAATTCTAGATTGGGAATCGTACTTTTGATAGCATTTGAAGCGCTCGAGATTCCCCTGCCTTTGTTGCGATGTATTTTCGTTATGAAGATAAAAATGCTTTGCTTTGTTCGTCGTGGTTTGTTTGATTCAAATAAGGCCTCTTTACTGTAATTTATAGTAAAGTCACTCATCAGTTACTTCGGTATTGGCCACATTCTAAACATGAGAGCTAATGATGCTGCACAGATTGACATAGGACATAGTAACCGTTAATGCGACCGTGATCACTTGTGCCCTTGGGAACACTAAATAGAAGGGGTCTTTCATTTTTGTGATTGTCGATTTACTGTTCATATTTGAAAAATCCTTTTAGCTAAACAATTGAGGTTGTGAAAATCGCTTGACAATGCAGCAATAGAAGATACCAACTTTTGCGAACTTTCAGACACGTTCTGAACAATCGAAATCCAGATCCCGTAGGTTTATTTTCACAAGCAGGGAGTATACAGAGGTGTGTAATATTTGCGAAATAAAGATGCTTTTTTTTATTCTCAGTACACGAGTGTATTGAACAATCGTGTACATAACCAAAGGTCCTCGGTTCAGTCCCTTGTAGCAGAGATATAGATGCCCACTGGAGTTTTTTCTTAGATAAAACATTTGTCCAGCACTCCCAGATTTTTTAATGGTAGTCTAGCTAAGATCAGTTCGTGATTTAATAACTGCGAGGCCTATCTGTTGATCGATTTCAGAACATAGCACTGATTAATTCCGTGAAATCCTTAATGAATACTAACAGTCGTAAAAGATTATCGGTTCAATCAATCAGCGACCTGAAACACACGAGTTGAGATCACTTAATTTAAAAATGGAGGCGTGAACTTGAACGAAGTGATGCAATTATAAACTAAGGGGAAGAGATCCGGAAGAACGATGTGTAAATAAACTTATGATCAAGTCACCGTTGCAAGGAAAGGCTGTTTCCTCTTTGATACAAAAGTCTTTTATGAAGCGTTTGATAACTTATGGACCTTGGAAGATTTGAGAAGAATGGGATTCGAGTGTCGTTTGATAATGCCGAAAGATTCCAGCCTATCAACTTGATGTCCTGCATCACAGGATGGTGAGTTAAATTGAAGTTTCTTTGGAAATTCATGAAATGTTGGGTTCTTTTTGTCTATTGAAGACAATAAGCTAGAAAAAGTATTTATGTGAACTATAAGGTTTGTACCTATAAAATAGATTAACTTCTATAGAAAAGCCTGGGAATTTTTATTAAAATATGAAAATGGAGACAGACGGACGACATACCTTTATGTACATTATGTTAGCTTCGTTTCATAAACATTCATCTGATTTCAGTTCAAGTGTTTATCGGTCAAGATATACATATGGCATGAAATAATTTTAGTTTTCATAAAGATCAAAAATTAAGATGATTTCACACGTTTACACGTTTGCAAATCTCTGAATATCAATGGTAATTTATTTATTACTTTTTATTATATAACTAATAAGTATGTTGAATGTACTAATTGTATTGATCAATTACTATTGTCCATTAATTAGGTTTTTGTTGGTAGTAAATGTTTAAATTGTTGTTGAACAGAGATTTTACTGTTGGTTTGTGGTTATTATCAGTTCAATCAGTTAGTCAAGCCACAGTGTAGAGAATCTGACACTTAGGTGCAACAGTGTTTAAGTTACCATGACACATTAGTACCGATGGATTGGATTGTTAATTCAGATCCCACAGTGGTAGAGATAGTAGTAGTATTAGCAGTAATGAAGATGATAAGGGATCGAAGATGCTATTCAAGAAGTATGTCCCAGTGAATTAAATTTATTAGGAAGTTAGATAAAAATGATGAGGAATTCAGAAGATTAGAATTTGAGAGAAGACAAAGAATGGATGCACCTGTGCCATTGTGAAGGATTTTGGGACATGTTATTCACAGCCGATAATCATCGATTACGATCATCTCGCAGACCCGAACCAGGTAGTCTACACCTACCAACATAGTTCAGTTCAGTTGTCAGTGACTTCATGGATTTGTACCATGTTTTGGTTTGGCGGCCTCTAGGTTACTTCCGACCTACTTCTACACCACAAAACATGGCTCGACGAGGCAGTCGGTGGTTGAGCATACGTAACACGTCCGAACTACCTCAACTGATGAAGACTCACTACTCCATCTAATGATATAACAGTCCTGAAGCAACGTTTTGCATTTTGAGGCGAAGAATTTCATCCCAAAGTCGCTCGCATTATTGCTTAGTGATTGTCACAAGAAGACTATACACTGGGATAATCCTTGATTAACACTAAATAGATGGAATTACGTCTAGTCCCCAGATTCTACCTAAGATCTCAGTCGATCTAACTGCTAAAATTAGACCACCATCCTTAAAAGCTCAGGGTTTAGCCTGTCAGGACCTGCTGCTCTCCTTCTCCTTAGACTGCCTGTAATATTCCAACCTCATTAAGAGTCGGAGGACTTACATCAACAGTCGAATTTCTGATACCACTTTCCCTGATAAGTCTGAATAGTTGTTTGTTGTTACTTATTTCTGCCGCCTTTCCCATCTTTCTTGTTTTCGCTACCCACAACAGTATGCGATCACTGTGTGCGTTACTTATCAGCCTGTGAATAAGCTGCCTCTGCTCCTCATCGCGTTCAGGGCCAGATGGGGAGTTTCCGAGCATCTATCAGCTCGGTATATGCTACTGAGATCTACTGTTTCTCTCTAACATTTTGGTTTACATTGCTGGCAGATATCGCTGTCGTTTCCACAAATTTTTGGATATCATTCCTAGCTGGTTAACTATTTTTCTAGTTGCTCTCGCGGTATGCTCTCAGATTTTTGATAGTTAAGTAGATCTCGAATGTGTATCCTTGCTGTTTCTTTCTTACGTCAAGTAAGCCGTAGTCAAATACGTACTAAACCGTGATCTGTGTTTAAACAAGTACTCCAAATTGACCAGCAGTCTTCTGTCGAGCCTCTTCATCGGTGGATGATAGAAATGCAGTTTAGTTGGGTTCATTATTCAATTGGTTTCCACAGTAATTGTGTTAAAAGATTGTTCCTTATGTTCAAAATTGGTCTCTTTCAGAAATAGGTGGTTTATCTGAGCACAGGTACGACAGATGGTCACCACTGTCTGTTTGATGAGCTGCGACACTACAAGATCCACCTGGATGCCTTTCATTTTCGCTTATTGTGCCTACTTGAGCATTAAAAACACTAGCGCTTAGTTTTTTGATTGTTGGAGAGCTTTCCGTAGAATTCATTTCTTACTTCACAT